TTAGTTTAAACTTTGGGAGTATATTTCAACCTTATTAAAGAGACTATCAATCACTTTAAAATATTGACTCATGTATCAATTTATTGTAAAGCTCAGATAACTTTGAACATTGACAGAAGTATATCATTGTTGATTTCCTAATTTGGGTACTAAATGTATATAAAATTCAGAGTAAAACAGTGAATCTCTTCAAGAGGCTTTAAGAGAAAATGAGAAAGTTTGTGGGTTTTATTATCAGTTGCTTCATGGTGATGCCTTTTGTTTTATGATGAATTTAAAAATCAAAATTTTGATCTTAATTGGTGGATTTTACCAAGTCAATTGCAATATTCTGCAACGAATAAATAAATCTGACATCCATTTGACAATTTTCAATGCATTTTTACCAGGAACGTCCAAAACCTCGCAGATCACCCACTGTTGGACAACCTTACAGTCCCAGTCGCGGAAGCTGTCATCGCAAAATGCATATTCAGGATTTAGACCTCTCCAGTTATGGGTATGGCCTTTGTGGATAAATCTAGGATATTTATAGATTGATATCCACTTTACATATAAATGTTGATTTGCTACAAATTTGGATCAAACCATTCATACAGGATGTTACATCACAGAATTTACACCAAAACCTCAGTGTGTCAAATATTATCTTGATTACTTTAATTGACTTATCATTCTGAGGATAGATGCAATCCATAAAAACTGGGAAATTCTGAAACCCTTTCTAAAAATGAGGTAACAGTACCTTATATCACTCTCTCTTTCATTGTTTCTGGCATATACACAGAAACATTTTCTCTTAGGTCCTCTGATAAGGCTAACAATTAACAGTTTGACCTTGCTGTCTTGTAAGTAGGCATAATTAACTCCAAGTAGTCAAAGGATTGTTCATGTTTCATAACTAAAAGATTGTATTGCGAGAAATATAAATTTTTAGTAGTTTACTTGACTACACTGTAAGTATTTGTATGTAAACATTATTAATGTTGTAGTCTTCTATTTTTATTGTAATCTTCTATTTTTATTGTAATCAAAATAAATAATATAATATATTGTTAAGTAAAAAGTAAGTCAACAAGTTTTCATACTTGTACTTTCTCTGTTTTTGCCTAATGTACTTCAAACTTGACTCCTTGAATTACCAGTGACTGAGCATGCTATGATTACCTTAAATTTGTTCCTCTTTTTGCAGACTGGAAGATTTTGGAGACTTTCCCAGGTCAGTGATTGCTGGAATCATTCAACACCTCAAACCAAGGTATGACACAGACACCCTTTTGTAGTATCCTCACACATGAAGAAATTGTCTGAATTCATGCCTTGCATAAGAAGGATAGCAGTTGACCAACATGTGTGTTTGTCAAACAATCTCCAATGAAAATTCATGGAGAGTTTTTAACATCAGTCCTCAATTTTCCACAGAGGCTTGAGTGCATCTTAGTCAATCAGCCCCATAAATTTGTCAACCAATATATTAACAGTTATACGTGACATTGTGTCTTTGAGCTAAGAACCTTGTTCAAATTATGAGTTAGAAACGAAGTAAATCTGTGAATGAAAGTTAAGAGTATAAAAGCCCATTTACATTGTATTTATGTATTTTTGTCCGTCTGAAGAGCTGAAAACAGGCTTATTCATTTGATTAATGATCACTTACAATCCAAAATCAAACAAGCTGAATGTACACAGTCATATAATATTTCTGTTTTTTTTTTTTTTCGACTCAAATTTAATGTCTCCCTAATACGCTGTGGTGACTATACCGCGTTTACTAGGCGTTATCCTTTGTGCCAATTTTTAGCCAAGTCACTGTTAGTCAAGAATTGCCTTTGGGGTTAGAAGTTCAACCAAAACAACAGTCAAGTCCAAGAGTAGACAAGCCTAATGATCTAAGTACACAGAACAAAAGCGCTGAAAACTTACCGAGCGAAATTCTGGAACAAACTCTGCAAGATGAAAACTCGCGCATGCTGCTAGATGTTGATATAAACTCACACTTCACTCCCCCTGTGGATGAAGAACTTACTGATGAGGAGGGTGGGCTAAAGATCAACGGTGAATCAAAACAAGACACTGACCAACTGCAACCTCAGCTGATCAAAACAGTTGTTGATAAACTTACTGGCAAACGAGGTCGCATACTATTACCTCTTGCATATGTGGGTGTTCCCTTTGAGCGTTGTGCCAAGTCTAAGTTACATCACTGTGTCAACTCCATTCCCCGTAACTTAAATTTGGGCGTGGCAATGGAACCGGTTGACGTAGTATCAGTCACACCAACTCCTATCGGGACACCACAGGAAGAGTTAGAAGGTCAAGAATCTCAGCTGTGTGCCTTGGCTTCCCCAGGCGTGACTTCAGCCAATGCCAGTGAGTACATCTCACCTTGTGATGATCAGACGAATCTTCATTGGCCTGTGCGAGGTCACATGACATCTGCACTGAGGTAAGTAGCTCCTAAGTAAGTAACGTGCTTTCCTACAAGGATTATTTTGGCTCTGTTCACAGGAAGTAGTGGCATAGCTTTAAAGTAGGACGATTTCATTTCTGTGTTCGAAAGGCCCGGATGAGATCATCATAGAATTTAAGCGAGGCTTTCACTTGTTCTAGGCATAGAGGAAGCCCACTATGAAGATAGAGGGAAAAGAAAATTAAACTTAAATGAATGAACTCGAAAAAAAAGTGACAGATGAGGGAACTGATTCCATCCATAATCAAAATCATTCATACCAACCTCCGTCACTTTTTAAACATCATCACAGGGTACATATGCACAAACTAAGAGAGGCAGTGACAAGACCTCTTGACTTTTGTTTTGTTGTCGTTGTAGATATTCTCCAGCTCCAGTGCATGCCCCAGCACCAACTCCCAATAGCCCAGAAAGACACGGCCAATACTTCTCCCGCACACCACAGAGTAGGGAACATAACAACTCGGTCACGTCTCGCTACATCAGGAGGCGAGAGACACTGACCAGTGTGTATGACGAGGACGAAACCATGATTAGCCGAGAGGCCTTGGGAAGTCCTGAGGGGGAGAGAGTGGGGGAGGAATTTGCTGTTGAACCAGTTTTTCTGACAGAAGGAGCTCTTTCTCGTGACCCAAGTCTGGTTTTAAACAAGAATGATGCACAAGAATGGCCGCAAGATAAAATGATAATAAATGTGATCGAGAACAGCGATGACATGCCCCGAATGGTTCGAAGTCCAAGCCCTGGGAGTAAAACATACATCCCCCAGGATATTCTCGCTGAATTTCATGGAGATCCTTATGGGAGAAAAGGAATGCATGTAGCAGGTCAAAAAATTATTGGAAAACCGAACATTGTGAAAGAGCCTGAAAAAACTGACTCGCGTGGTTACATGGCACCGGCTTGGAGACCTCCGCGCTCAAGGACACCCATTCAGTTCGTAGATACGCCCTCCAGGCGAGCCCCAAGACCTCTCAAACAGCCCCCGAAGGAAAGTGTGCCGAAGTCCTTAACTGTAAAGCCTCTGGCGCAACGCACGCCTCGAAGGCCAAAGAGTACCCCTCCTCGTATGAGCTCTTCCAAGGATTCAGGAGATTTGTCAGTACATCAGATTCTGTCGGATTCGACACTAGGCAGTTTCATTCTAGATGACCCAGGGAAATATTCAATGGACGCACAGGCCACATCACCCTCCGTGGATACTTCTGGCTCCATACCCCCTCCTCCTTCCCCAGAGGCAATACTGGTTACCTCAGTTGTTCCTGGTACTCCCAGGCTGGATCCTGTCAGTGAAGTTGAAGAGAAAAGCAGTATCACTTCAGCTGGTCTGGCTGATGGCGTAAGCCAAGTAGAAGGTAGGAATGTCGTGGCTAACCTCTCAGAAGTTGAAGAAGGAGACGAAGTTGATGAAAGCAACGAAGAAGTTGACCTTGGCCAAAATTCAAAAGACATCAAATCTGAGAGCAATAACGAAAAAGAGACAGATCTCGCAATCACTGAGGACACAGAAACAATTGAAAGAAGACAAAACGACGACTCACAAGATACTCCGGATGTAAATTTGGAAGGAAAAACCGTTTCTTCATTTTTTGCCGGTGATGAAGCTACTGACAAAACGAATCTACCTGTAACAGATACTAATAAAGAAATGCATAATAAAGCTGGACGGGATGAAAATGAGTCTGAAAAACAAAAAGACGACAAGTCTACTTATGAAGATACATGTACAACAACAGAGGAGTCAGATGAGAGAGAAAAGGAGAAGGACAACACGGATCCACCCCAGCCCCCTGAGTCAGGTGAGAGAGAACAGGAGAAGGACAACACGGATCCACCCCAGCCCCCTGCGTCACCAGATATCGTCAGCACTCCAGATTTCACTGAGGGATTAGACATGAACCTCGATTTAGAAGCAGAGCTTCGCGCGGCCATGGAAGGCTTGGATGATTTAGGTGACGGGAAGGAAAACGGAGAAAAAAGGACTTCCCCAGAACTGGAGCCTTGGTAGTGACCATTCCTTTGAGCTGTTCGGTCTTTTTTGGGTCGTGAATCATACTATTCGTGTGACATTCAATGACAGAATGTTGAATTACAGAGTAAAGATAGATTGTAGGAACCATGTAATTAGATAAAATTTTATGTTTTACATTTATCTTGCCGGTGTGTTTTATGTGTAGCGGAATATAGCCATATATTTTGGTCAGAGCGATATAAGAAATTACAGATCTGTCAAACACTTTAATTAGACGCGGTCAGGGGATTATGAAAACAAACACTCTGACATAAATTAAACTCAAACTACACTCACCGACTCGAATTATTGCGGCATTAGTCATCTTACTGTCTAAACAGAACACTTATGGATATTTGAGTAGGATCTAACATGCCTACTTTCAAGTGATGCATTTGTTTTCTCAGAAGGACAAAACATACAAATTTTCCTTTTTTTCTCTTTAATTTGTTATTCATGACGTTCTCGAGCTTTCTTAAAGTACATGTGGCAATAAATTTATGCCTTGGAAGTGTTGTGCTCTTACAAAAGACCTATTGATAGTCAAATGACCCAAATTGTCAAAACAGAACAGATCAAAGGACACCAAGGGATCGATCCGTTGTTTGAAACATATTTCCGTAGCAGCCTTTCATTCTCTGCAATCAATAGCTGACCAACCTTCATTGACTGCATCGATAAGCGAATCAAGCCAAGAGTTTGCTAAAAACAGTTATGACATTTGTCCATTGTTGTTCGAAACAAGCGACCTAATTTTTCTGTAAATCTTACAAAGAGGCTCTTCTTTGCGTAAGCCCAAGATGAATATTTCCAAAGCACTTTTCGATTGTAGTGGGTCAACTTTTCCCGAATCGGAAAATGAAAGAGCCGTTTACGAACAGTTTTGCGGATGTACAATTCCTCCAGAATCATGGCACTCAATGGGCGAAGTGGTATTTAGTAAACTGTTCCTAATCATTTCAGTTTTAGGGAATACACTTGTTATATTCGTTCTACAACGAATGAAGCGCAGCGCACAATGCGGAGCCATGAAGCTGCTTATTCAACACTTGTGTTTGGCTGACATGGCCGTTTGCATCGTGTACAACATCAATGAAGCCATAGGAATCGATTCAGAGCACTCTAACACACCTGTTTGTAAGCTTATTGGTGGCTTAACATGGACTACACTCTCTGCTTCATCCTGTTTAATCTGTTGTGTTTCGCTGGAGCGTTACCTGGCTGTGGTGAAACCATTTGACTTTACACTTAACACACGTCGTACTGTGCTTATGATAATATTTTCATGGTATTATTCTCTCATGTTCACTCTGCCAGACTTTTATTTCCTTAAGAGGTTGGAAGCACCGTTTTGCGGCCGGGGATTAGTTCCATTTTGTTCGTACGACTTTTTTCGAGGTACTGATATAACGGTGATTCTGCTAATGACTCTTTCAGCCACGTTCCTAGTTCCGCTAGTTTTTATCGTGTTCACTAATGTCGCCGTTATTCATGCATTACTACGTGGTCAAGGCTCAAAACTTTTCAGTAAGTTTCGCCACACAGCCGACCAACGAAGACGAGGAGTTGTATTAATTGTATTTTTATTAACAGCCATATTTGTATTATGTTCTGTTCCCTTCGCTACTTACTTCTTTCTAATCGCTGTGTCTGTAGCAGTGCCCAGGGAATATGCTATAGTAGCTTATTATCTCATGCTATTTAACAGTACTGCTAATGCATTTGTCTATTCCTTCTTCAGTGCCGAGTTCCGTAGAAACTGTAAAGAGTTATTTTTGGCAGTGTTTAGAAGTTTTAAACGATATTAAACACAGCTTCGAAAAGCAAAATCGGAAGAACATCGAATTGAAGAGCAACGGTACAAACATCACTGACAACTGATTTTAAATTACTTGTTTGATCTTGTTTATTTTGAATTGATGCTTCAGGATAGGTAGATTTTCATTTCTACATAAACTTACGTTTAATTATCGTGGGTAAATAGGAATTGTAATGATTAAAATATGTCTACAATTTAGCGGTATTTAAGTCTAAGTTGTCACGATCGATGTTTATCTAATTTTCAACTCAAGGTGATATTCTGTTTCAAGCAGTTTCCCAATTCTCTATTTTCTTTCTTTGTTACGCGGTTCTTGCTATTTTAATTACTAAACAACACGGTTGATCAAGAAAGAAGCACTGAGTTACAGTAATTTGCGAGGTCATCGAACAAGTAATGATGATTGGATGGAAGTTTCTGGTGCTTAGAGGTGATGGAGCTCCAAAAAGCTTACTTATTCCGGTGTATTTGACAGCGACCCCCGTCTTCTATAATTACCTGACGTTTTTCTTCTTGGATCTTAAACCTCGGTATACTCTGAGAATTTTCATTAACCGGTTTTTTCTATTCCTTCCCTGGTGCGAAATCAAAGAGTTATCTTGTCAAAGTTTAAGGGCATGCTGAGGGGGATTTAGAATAAATTACCTCATAAAGAATCTCCACTTAATTGCCCCAGAAAATTTTAAGTAGCCCAAATGATGAGACTTGTGTTAACGTTTGAAATTATATGAAAACGAAAAGTATCAGTCTTGTGTGAGACGCATGATTGTAACTACAGTCAGAACTAGTTAAATCCTTCGTTAGAAGTTCGGAAAAGAATTCTCTCCCTAAAGACGCCACCCACCGAATAACCCGGAAACTCAAGCGGATGATATATAGAGAAGAGGATAACTATAACTGTACAGGCCCTTCGTGAAAGCGGGTTATTCCTTACTACTAAACCTCTAGCTTTCGATCGGCTTCACTGATATCCTTTCCTTTGTCAACACTTGCTCACTTTGCTAAGTCACCGTGTATGGTTGCATATATGAGGAACCATTATATGAGCAAATGGCTTACATCTAGCCCGATTAACTTTTGTACTAGATACCAGAATCTTAGGAATTAGAACAGAATTATCTTTTGATAAGGGATAATTTGTCAAAATCAAATACAAATATAAAGAATCGAATTAAAAAATATATTCGAGGCCACTGGAACCGGCTTGGTGTAGGGTTATACAAACAGGATCCATTAGGATTAGCATTGGTGTAATAAATGCATGAAGAAGAAGGAAATTAAGACAAACCGGATGGTCAATTGACATTTTAAAATATTGACATTTATTTGTTCCAGATTCTAACTAATTTCAAGAATGTATCCTGCTGGACACACCCAACTCTCCAGTCCCCCTCACCCACCTGAAGTGCAGTTTTCCGGTATAAAACGCGCAACGCGTACGACTAACTTAATGAGAGTGCGTCCGGAATGGGTCCAAGGGTTTTGCGGCACAAGTTCTCCTATTATCTCAAAATTAAGGTTGTGAGTATTCAAAAGATTTGTTTTTAGTCGATGGAGGACTGTTTCTAAGCTACAATTTCGCCTGACCGATCGCAATCGTCTGATCCACGCAAGTGACTGACTCGGCAATCCGAGAGCGCTTTGATTTAAATCAATTCTATTAGAAACAGTGCGTTATGTCGGATCTGGAAGACATCGAAGATGTATTTGAGGTAGGTAATTTACATATCAGGAAATGTGTTTGTATGTGGCTTGTCAGGAAGGTTGTGAAAAGAAACCCTGTTATACTAAGTCTGTTACGGTACTTTACGTGACCTTGGTGCTGAAGTTAGAAACTAGCTGGTGACTTTAAGTTTATCTCATCTCGGAACAAGCATAGACATGAACGACATTATTTACTCACTGTCCTCCCAACATACTTTTGTGATTCGATGAAATCTCAAGTAAGCCTACGTAATTACTATTACTGTGTTTGTTTTAGTTTTGTTTAGATAGGTGTCAGTATGAACTCCATATAAGGCTAAAATTCCTTTTTGATGCAAGCAGAAATGAACAGACTAGCAGTTGAAATTGCAATCATCTACTAAAGAAAGACATGTACAAGACTGTTTATTCATATGCTGTGCACAGCATAATGTTAATACAAATAAAGGGTTAGTCATCTTATGTTCAGTTCAGTACCCACAAGGTGATGTTTCTAAGATGAATAAAAATGGTTGAATGAACAGGGGATTTTATTTGCATAAGTCAGAGTTGAAGCCATGGAATTTTTGAAAGTAGGTTCGAGAAAAATGGGTAACACATTAAGAGATATCCTTACTACTATAACATAGGTATGGTAATGATGAATTGAAAATAAACTTCATGATAAACAACAAGATTCACATAGTATTCGTAATTACAACCATCAGCACAATGTAGTTTTTTAATCTTAATTCTTTATGTTACTTGTTAGGGGTGGCTAGAGAAACCGACAGAAGATGATGCAAAAAGCAAAGGCTGGTTGAAAAAGTCTTTCACAAAGAAATGGAAGAAGAGTTACTATGTGCTACGAAAATATTGTGCTGGAGACCAACCTTTCCTGCAGTGGTTTGATAGAGAAGAAGGATGGCAGAGGCAAATGGCACGAGGGACATTGGAATTGTTTCCCAGATACAAGGTGTTCAAAAGAATGGAACAAAAGTCGAGGCAGTATGTGTTTGAGATCAGTACTGATGCTGAAACATTGACGTTGGCTGCAGAGAGTGAGACTGTGATGGACCTGTGGGTGATTCAGTTACAAATGCAAACTACTTTAAATCCACGAGTAGCAGGTTAGAGCCAAAAAACCCATTTATGCCTCTGGTGCTTTGGGCTCATGAAACTGCTATCAAACAGAATGTTTCTGAAATGCTTAGTCTAACAAGGGTAACCAGTCCTTGTAAACATGGTGTATCCCAATTTGTCTTGTAGGTGAGGTCTTCAGGGTCAAAGGCAGTGGCAGCCGACAAATGCAGAGAATAGGAGCTAAGGACCAACAGTGTCTCTTACACATTTCCAGGTGGGGTTTGTCCCTGGCTTTAGAGCGTACTCGAGCTGTGCTGGCTCAGTGGCCCTTGACAACAATTCGCAACTATGAAGCTCTAGATTCCAATGAATTTATCTTTGAGGCTGGCAGGGCATCCCCTATGGGTGAAGGGAAATACAACTTTGTCACACGCAATGGTGATGACAACAAGATTTTTGATGCCATAGACAGTTTTGCTTCTGCTCGTGTCAGGAGGGGAAGGAACTTCCATTCCCCAACAGCTTCAAATGAGCTGACAGAAGATGACATTGAACGTGCCTATGATCAACTCAGGTTTAGCCTCCAAAACTTCCCAGGTATTTATGATGATTTTGTTAAGTTTTTTTTTCTTCTAATTGTACAAAATTGGGATAAACGGGTTTTGTCTATGTAGAAACACTTGGGAATGTTCAGGCATGCAGAATAGACTTCTGAAAAACTGTTAGCAATTTCAGGTTACTACACAACTTCACAAATGAACTCTGGCTGATTGAGTCATAATAATTTTCCTTATCTCCAGGGAATCGAGACAGATCTGTTAGACATATGAGCCAGAGTGTGCCACGACCCATTGACACAGGGACACCACAGCAAGCATATAATCACATAGGCAGATCAGATAGTATAGGCAGTGCACATAGTCTTGGCAGCTTCTCAATGGTCTCAGAATCTGCTCTAAGCTACAGCCGCCTGGAGAGGCTACCAAGCTGGGGTTCCCATACATCCAGTTCAACTTATCCAAGGGACCAGTACAACACACTTAGTTCAGTGCAGACGGAAAACACCATACAGGAAGGAAGCTATGACAGACTAGCCCGCTCACCAAGTACTTCAAGCCGTAACTTTTCTCAATCACTGGTAAGTGATTGCAATAATGCTGTTAATGGTGATTCACCTTTCTTTGTTATTTTTACAGGAATGGGTAATAGTCCTCTTAAAAATTAATATGTTTGACATCCTTTTTATCCAGAGTTACCCACCACTGTATCTTAGAAAAGTGTGCGGCTATAATTTGGTGGGAAGTTAATTCTGATAGAAAACAATCATAAGGATGAAAAAGAGAAAAATGGTCATGCAGGGAAGTAAAAGAAAACTTAAGAGGTCTCAAGTAGATGCAGGTCATTGAGTGGAATAAAAACCTGTCCTCTTTTAACTTACAAGATGTTTTATACCTTGTTCTGCTTGCCAGACAGGCCTGACTCCATGATACATCTTGTGGTGTTTACAGGACACAAGATCTCAAATGGAACAGAGACATTTGATGCAGGAGGAGCCATCTGCTGGCCAGAAATCACATGGGACAAAAATGGCACCCGCTATACCCAAAAAGAAGAATGAATTAACAAATGGTAATGAGCATTCAAAAGAACCCAGTGCAACTCCAAAAAATCAAAAACCATCCAGTGTACCAAGATCAGCTCAGCAAGTTGCATCTGATGATCATGCTGAGAGAACACAAAGCTTTTCACGTGGTGAGAAACCTTTATCTGTAGTTGGCTCTCCAAACTTTTTTTATATGAATGCAGCATATTCCTCTAGTGTTGAGGTTTTGCCAGCACTCTATGCTACTGTGGATCTTAGTAAAAAGACAAAGAATAAAAATCCAGCAGAAAGAGCATCAGATAATGCAGTGACTCTTACAAGACATCAAAGTAAGAGCTCTGATAGCATCTTGGAAGGGTCACCACCAAAATTCACCCACTTTGCAGCTTTTGCAACAGGTACTGAGTGTAAAGACTATGAAGATGCATGCATTACCATGATCCCTCCACAAAAACCTAGTACTGAAAGAGTTTCCTGGGCTCATGCTAACCTTGTTAACCAATCAGACCCTCAAGGAGAAAGAGCCGAGGGTGTTACTAATCTGCCTGTATTACCTGAAAAGAAGGGCTCATACCAAGGTCAGGTAGAAGCATTGGAGAGGACATTAACAGAAGTGTCACACCTTACTCAACAAGAAAAGTAATGGGCCATTTGTACCATATTTTGAATGAACGTGTTGGTGTTTAGGTTGAGATAATCTTTTTTCCAACATAACATGATGTACAATCATGAAGCACTATAGATATGTCGATTTCATTCAGTAATATTGGAGCCAGTTTTGTTCAGTATTTTATTTCCATAAAATGGAGTTTTGATAAATGTTTAGCTTTTCTTAAAGGAACAGATAAATTAAGGACTATTCACAGCAGGTACTTAGTTTCTTTTCTTGTTATGCAAAGAAGGATGTTGGACAAATTTCAAAATTAAATTAGAACTGTCTGCATCAAAAGGGTTGAAAGCAAAAATAACCATAAAATGCTTAACTTATTGTGAGCCACATCAAGGGGAAATCAAATGTCCAAACAGAAGTTCCCAAGTGGAGTTGAGGGGTCCACTTACTGGCCAGCTAAAAGAACCAGTCTTGCCAGCCAACCTGTCTGATATATATTTTGTGTTTGATCCAAGCTTAAGATATGGGACACTTTATACATCAATGAGAGATAGGCACAAATAAAGAAAGTAAGCTTTTTGTTGTGATGATAACTCCCAAGAACTCATTACTGATACTCCTTACCATCTGCCATACAGTTCTTGTGATTTTAGTTTAGAGAATTTGGTATTGCATCAACTTACAATCCCTTAATTGATATTTTTCTGTATTCTTATCACTTTTCTGATTGGTATTGTAATGATATTGTGAGGAGAAATTCTGTCCTGGTCACTCAAGGGAGTTAAAGGGTTAAGCTTAGGCCAACAAATTCTGTTTTTTTTTACAGTCATCATAACTGTCATTCAAGTTATCTTGATACAAATTCCAAATTTTTTGTACTTTTATTTCTTGTTCATATTTCAGTGCAAGTCAGTTTTCAGAATCTTATGCTTACCTTGTTAGTGAGAGCCATGCCTGATCAAGATAAAAACACTTACAAATAGTTATTTTATTTTATCATCAGGGACAGGATTTTGCTCCCTTAGTTAACTAATTAGATTCCTTAGATACTCAATCAAAAGTTGCTGCAACTTTCTGCTTCAAGATGCTTTTCAAATTGATGGTGAACTCTACAAAAAGCTATTACCAAAGAAAGATTTCTGAAATCTTATCTCTTGGGCTACAAGCAAGATTTTTCTAGTAATCCATAAGTTCCTTTGAATGTGTCAATACATTATATGCTTAATAATTTAGGGTTAGCCAAAACAAATCAAAGTAATTTTTACCTCTAAGCCTCTCTTATTTCTTCTGAAGAGTATTCAAAACAAATTCTATTTATATATTTATGATTCTAATTCAATAAATTGTTGTGTTGTTACTTTTAAGTGAAAATATGTTGCCTTGAAATAAAACTCCACATGGAAAATAATTCTAGTTACTCAAAATTCATATTTTCATTGTAAATATAGAAACAAATTTTAATTAATTATATCATTGTAAAGTTATTGTTTGTGAGAAGCCAATTTCCATTAAAATATATTTGATAATAGTAAAATATTTTTTCCTCTCTTGGAAAAGCCCTATTTAGGCGCAAGAATTCCTGCTCAAATTTTCTATCCAATTGTCATAGACAAGATAATTAAGAATAAGGAGAAGCATTCTTTCAAGAGAATAGTTTTCATAGTTTTATTACTTATCCAATTATATTGTCTTCTACAGAACTTCTACATATCTTTGAACTAAAACTAATTAAGTGTCCTAGATAATCTGCTGTTTTGTTTTAAAAGTTTTGATTTTCAATCTGATATTGTAGTAATATAAAATAATGAATGTATAAAATAAAAAAACAAAGATGAAAACATATTTTTCCATTTCTTTTACAATTCAGTTACAAGCAAATCTCTGCATTCTTGGAAGCATTTGGAGATTTAACCTGAAATTATTTCAAAAGTATATATTTGGGCTTCATCTGCTTGGTCATGTGTTCGAATGAGTGTCAAGCAAAGAAATGGAAACAGGAATGTGTACCCTATCCCATCAGTTAGCCACTAATGAATGCTGAGATGTTGAAATGTCAGAGACACTACCTCTAGTTGGCCGGCTACTTGTAAATGAAGAGCCTAATTAGTCAGAAAGATCACCTTATGCTGTATTCAATCAGTCTTTGCAGAAAGCCACATACATGTTCATTATTGACCTGTAAAGTTGCTAAATCTCCTTTTCAGCACAATACATGAATGTGACATTAGTGTAGAGGTAAATTAGAAATGAGAATAACATTTCCTTGGATTTCATACAAAGTTGGCTACAGTCGAACCTCGATTATCCGGACTCATCGGGACCTTGGTAAATAGTCTGGATAATCAAGAGTCCAGATAATTGAAAATATGAATATTAATGAGATAGAAATTTGAAATAATTATCTGCTTATCTTTAATCAATAGAACGGCAAGCTTTCACTTCGTAGGCATTTTTTTTATTTAAGTTTACAATCGATCACTCGTGTGTTTACATAACCCACGCAGAAGGAACTAATCAAGCATGAAATTCCCTTGGCACATCAGAATACTTCTTGACTCGTCGCACTTTCGAATTTTGAAAAGCACATAGGATAATACGCTGTTTCAACAGTCTTTTGAAAGGATTATTGGGCTTTTTGCAACTTTTGAGTTTTCAAGATCACAACTTATTAGTATTCATGGAAAAATTGGGACCAGAGAAGAAAGTCCAGATAATCGAATAGTGCGGATAATTGGGGTCCAGATAATTGAGATTCGACTGTACTACTAAAAGATTAGTAAATATGAATTCTAGAGAAGCTATTCCAACTGAAAATATTTAAATAATCACCCACTTAGGAGGGTGTGGCTTTCATGTGGAAGTGGGAGTGAATTAAAGCATTTTCAGTTCTCTTCAAAGCAAGCTATCATTGCAAACATTTATAACAAAATTTATGTCTTTCTCTATTAAGATAAGTTGGTGAGAAATGAAACAATAGCACTGATAACAAAATGGGTGTGCAAGGCATCTCCCAAGTTCCAACAGATTACTGACTTAGTCCAAATGGTTATGAAATACTTCCGGCTCTAGCAAGAGAGCCTGAACACTGACATAACTACCAATACTTAATGTTTCTTTGGACTTTTTTTAGCTTTAGTGATTTGTAAAGACTTGGGTCTGACCTGAGCTGTCTGTTGTAATTCATCATAAATATCCTCTCCATGATCAGACGGTGACGATTGTGACCTTTCAGGTTTATTGGGTAAATCCCCACAAACAACGATATTTTCTGCCAAGCCCTCGCTGCCTCTTTGCTCTGCAAATTCTGCACAAGGAGACAAGTCCTCACTTCCTTCTCTGGAGAGCTTTTTGGGTTTCCTTGGTTGTTTGGTCAAATCTAAGCCTCCTGCTTCCAGGGAAGCCTTCAAATTTGAAACAATTCCTTTCCCTGGCTTCCTAACATCCTTCATGCCAGTCTGTCCTGAAAATGACAAAACATCAGGGGCACTGGTTTTTCTAGCCTTGGAAGGACTTAATCTTTTCACTGGAATTGGAGGATTTTTCTGTGTTCCTTTATGGGACAACAGAGCTGAATAACTGATGCTTGCATAAGAGTCAGGGTCCTCCAAGGAAGATGTAAATTGAGGAGTCTTTGCTGGTGATGATGAGACATCTAGGGGACAACGTGTTGAGTGATGGGAGGAAGTAGAGTTGCCTTTCAGTTCCAAGGTATCTTTTTTGGCAGGACTATTGGTAAGGTGAAATGATCTCTGAGTTGGAACAGGCACACTTGGACTAGGTCTACCTCTTGTTTCATCAAGTGTACTGTACATGTCGTCATCATTCCTGGGGGAACTAGAGGCCACAGTTTTATTGCCCAGTGTATTATACATCTCATCACTTTTGTCTGATGATGCAGTCCAACTTTTTGGTCTATTTGGAATAGGAGATGTACCCCCTCTTGTTACATTGAGTGTATTGTACATTTCATCATTTCCTTGTTGTGTTTTACTGGATGCAGAGTTTCCTGCACTAAACAAATCCAATGTATTGTACATGTTAGTTTCATACGTCAGCTGTTCAGATGTCTTTCTAGGAGGTGCTGGTGGTCTTACTTTGGAGGCACTATCCAGTGTGTTGTACACTTCATCATCTTCATCTTTTGGTTGGGATTTCTGAAGCACTGACTGCTTGGTTGTTTTTCTTACTGGAAGTGGAGGATGTCTTTGTGTACTTAGGGTGTTGTACATATTATCAACTTCATCTGGTGTTGAGTCAAAAAGCTTCCTGACAACCGATTTTGGTGATCTGACAGATACTTGACTATTAAAGTTTCCTTTGCGAGGAGGCAATACTGGTGAACCATGATCTAGTGCATTGTATGTTTCCTCAGGAGCTGATGTGGTTGGTGGCAGAACATTTCTTTGGGGAGAAGACAAGGTGTTGTACACATCTTTATTTTCTTGAACACTAGCATGTGGCACAGAGTGCAAAGTCTCTCCGATCACATTGTAAACATCTTCTGTCTCTTTCTGAAGTGAGCCTGTTGGAGGATTGGAACTATGTTGAAGGACACTATACATATCCTGTCCTTGATGAGGTAAAGCAAGGTGCTGATCAAGAGTGTTGTACTCATTTGCAACAACAGGTTTTTGGACATGTTGGATCCTTGGTTCTTCAGATCCATGAATTGGTTGACTTAGTGTGTTATATTGATCATCCTCTGTGGGTATAGCTTGAGAAGCACCTTGAGTAACATGCGGCAGGCCTGTTCTTGTCATATCACGTGATGGCAGATGCCCATAGGGAGCAGCATATGTGTCTTTTAATGAATTTGTCATACTTGATGTAGTCACAGGGATACACGACAGCTGCTCATAACTATTGTCTGGAGTCTCTTTACAATTTGTGGATACACTATCAATTGGCACAGAATGTTTCTTCTCCATTGTTTCATGGGAAGGTTTATGGCCTGCCCTGGACTTCACAACATTGTCCAAGAGCTTGTAAATTTCATCATATTGAGGAGTAAAAAATGCAAACTTTCCTTCTCCAGTGGGAGCTCTTCGCCCAGCCTCAATTGTGAACTTTCCCCGTGTACTCATGTATCTCCGTAGACATGTGAAAGGCCATGCCACCAGCAATCTTCCATCTTTAGCACAGAGAAGTCGTAGCTCACTGTTTGCTACATGGAGGTGACATTTACCAGTTGCTCCCAGCTTTAACATCTGGTCTGTGGTTTCGGGATCCACATAAAATGAATTGACTGTATAATAAACCCAGAATACAATTGATATTCAAATAAATGTAAAACCATATCTTTGTTTCTAAGGATTCTATTAATCTTTGTAGCATAGAGTTTAAAAACCTATTTTCAGCAATTTCAGCTGAGTTACAACGAATCTCCGTGGAAACATCTGGGAAACTACAATCGTGTGGCAAGTATCAAGGAAGATCAACAGGAAGTTTATAGTTACATTCAGACAATGTCAAAAGGTTAGAAATGTCTGGTAATGATAATCCCCAGTCTCCTTCAGTAGTATCCCTACAGGGAAACAACTCAAAGATCTTTCTTTCTCAGCCTTTTTTCATTCTGAGCCAGGAACCATTTAAGAAAGATTTTCTCCTGATCTTTGCATCACACTATACTATCAATGATATATTTAAAAACACTACAAAACATTAGTTTTTTTCCATTTGAAATTCTGGGCATCTTTCTGGACATGTTTCCTCTCAAACATGTTCCATGGACAATCACTAACTGTACAATCTAAAAGAGACCCCTCTCAAGTAAGCCCCTCTCATGTCTGAAAACTCCCCTGACTAGAAGCCCTGAAAATTCATGGGTCTATGAATTGTAACTTCTTCAGTTACATTCATTAGATCTGTAAACCAGAGTAGCATCAAACCATGTCTGATTGTCCACATGGTTGCCGTGTGAACTTTAATATATTTCATTCTCTGAAAATTAATTTACCCTTAGGTGCTTATCAGAGCATTTACAGCTATCCATGATAGCTTAAGATGTGGCTCTCACTTCATGCTGACCTTAAATCCAAACAACTTTCACCTTTCACATGATAACATTGTTTGATCTTCCTTTTTTTTTCATGCCTTCTACTTCTCATTTAGATTACTTTGTTGACGTGTTCATTATTCATGATCTTAAATCGCAGTCAAGAATTGAGCAAATGTTATTAATTATGTCATCTATCTACTCACCTATACTCTCTCTCTCCAAAATAAGAATCCACTCATTAAGTTCATCTTCAGAATGAGCCGCCAGACGATAAGTATGATCCACTGTTTTGATTTCAAAGACGAAATGACGCTTTGGTTCTTGAACTTTTATGATTTCATACCCGGGATAAAGAGCTAACACTCCTTTAGGTTCTGCAGTCCGCCAGTTCTTGCTGTTACCAACAGCATAGAACTCCAAGCTTCTGATGTTACTTGCCAATATGTGCTTGAATACAAAATATCGCCGCTTCCAATCCTTTTTCCCGTGTTCGTGCGTGCATTTCTCAAGTGTCCCCTGTCGAAAAGATTGGCCAAAGATCACGAAAACAAGATTGTACGCATTGCGACACAAAATATTTCATCAATGGTGAGATTAATTCAATGCAACAAAATCAACTTCTTGACGTAAAGGCAGTTTAATTACGTAGAAATTTCCCTATAACGTTAAAAATGCAAGTAGTGATGCAAAAATTGTAGATCAATTGAAATGATCCAGGCAAATGAAGTGTAAGTAGGTACAAACCTCATGCAAAACTCGGACCTCCGCATCCATTCTGCAACATACTTCCTCCCTCTCCGAATTA